GTTACAACAAATATTTCTTTAAATTGAGGGCCGTATCGGAATTACCCCGATGAATAGGCCAAATTACTAGTTTCTAGTTCGCAGTCGCACAGGAAATACCCTCATGATCTCACAAATATATTTTAGCTTGGGGAAACGTTCTGTGCATGAAGACGTATGCGCGTGGACCTTTTTATCTCTTTGTACCACGCAGACATGTTTTTTTCTGCTTCTTCCGCGGATACCATACTGTTAGGGGTTTTCGACACCGAACGGGCGGTCGGGTAGCCTAGTGGTTAAAGCGTTCGCTCGTCACGCGGAAGACCCGGGTTCGATTCCCGACGTGGGTACAATTAGTGAAGCCCATATTGGTGTCCCCCGCCGTGATATTGCTGGAATATTGCTAAAAGCGGCGTTATACCACACTCACTCACTCACTCACTCACTCGACACCGAACACCGAACATTTTTATTTTTCATAACTTCAAGTGTCCTTATGCCCGCCATATGCCCCCATATGCCCGCCATATGCTCCTTCTGTTGTTACTCTTAATGACAAATACTTGTCCATGCAATGTCTGCCATGTGACCGAACTGTCGTCTTTTAAGAATATAACACAGGTCTATGCAATGCCTGACAAGTGACTGCTCACCTATTAATGGAATGCCAAAATACAATACATAATGTCCATCTAGTGTGCCCCAGACCTTCATTGTTAGTCCATACAACATGGAAATCCATACTGCTCGTTCAATATGCCCATTCTGCTGTCATTGTTGGTCAGACTGGAATAGCAGGAAACCACTCGGGTCAAGGCGTATTTCGATCAGTCCCCATCAAATCAGAGACATCTCTTTCTTGATGTTTGGATTGAATACGGACCCCATATCTGTACTTGATAATTGCTTGTCGTGATTTGGAAGGGTATTAGGTTTGCACTTAATACTTTGATTGAAGCCGTTGTGGAAGACCCCTTGAAGAGACTCTTTCATTAGAGGCCATTGCGTGTTCTATCGCAATACCAACATGGGGGGAACAGCTTTGTCAAACACAGGACGACACATGGCGGAACCGTTGGACAGAAAGCACATTGCATGTAGCGCATGTCAGTTGAGTCAGAGGCGGTCCAAGCCAAGGTACATGTTCAGAGTGTACTTTATTGTCAAGACCTGTCTTACCACAGGACACTGTCATAGCCTTTCGTCCAAGGTATGATGAGATGTATTGTCGTTTAACCTTAGATTTATATTGCTCAAAATGTTTTCATGATCTACCCTGTCTAATCTATCTTACCATTATGTTTAACCTTCCATCACTGATTTTCTACGGAAGCCTTTTAGGGCCATTTGGTTTTTTGGTTTTTTTCGATATCACCTTGAAATTTCAAGATACTAAGTTGAAATTTCCAGATACTTTCTTGAAATTTCAAGATATTAAGTTGAAATTTCAAGATATTAGGTTGAAATTTCAAGATACTATCTTGAAATTTCAAGATACTTTCCAAAAAACAAATGGCCCTAAAAGGCTTCCGTAGATTTTTCAGTGATCCTTTTCTATAATTTTCACCGCAATTTTGCTTTGGCGTAGACGTTGTGTAGATATTTTATTCAGTTGCCTATCGATCTTTTATAGTCAAGGGGTGCGATTGTCCACGTTTTCTCAGGTTCCGAAAATGGAGTACAACTCTAGCACAGCTGGGTGTCGGTTTTTGATGTAGTACTATATACGTCATACCATGGTAATAGAAGTAAAATATACGAGTTTTTGTGTCTGGGTAAAAGTGAAGGAAAGGTAAAAATTCTTGGGGTATGAACAAAATGTTCAGGTGAATAATTGACTTGCTTTTGCATGTGTTTGTGACGGGTGCCATCTGTGGAGCAGGGTACGCTCACCTTTTCGCGAACACCTGGTATCATTAATATTGGATAGAGATTCATAGACACATGCTCATGATATAGTCGGAATCGTACAAAGGGTTTTGTCGCTTCTATTTATACGATGATATAGCCGCAACGTGCCCCTGGTTGATAATGATGAACGCAAGACCATCGAAACACAAAGCCACCAACGGTAATAGGGTTTCACTTCAAAGACCTGCATCGCTCTCTGCTTTCTAAATAGTATTGTGTAGTATGGACTGTATGTGTACTCGAGGTAATTGGGACCGCGTATCGAGTTATCCGTTGTACGTGATAAGCGGGGTATCGAATAACACCACTGTTCCGAAAATAATTCTATTTGGAATGTAATGTTGTTTCGACTTAAACGTCACGAAGTATTTATTCAAAGTAGTTTGAGTTAACAAGGGGCACGGGTGGCCCAGTCGTCTAAGGCGCCGCGATACGATGTGCAGAGTTGCGTCCCTTGGGCACGCCAGAAACCTATGATTGTGGTTTCGAATCCCGGTTCGCTTATGTTTCTAGGTTTGTCAGCACCATACCCGTGCTCGTGGGTTTCACCAAATGATAAACGTTTGAGACCTGCATCACTTTAGGCTTTCCTGCCACATTAAACTAACACGTCGTGGTATAACTGGAATAATGTTAAAAGCGGCGCTAAACCCAACTCACTCACTCACTCGAGTTAACAATGTTATATTGCACAGTGAGAATAAATATTCAACTGGAACATATTTCTTAAAATTGTAATTACATTTTTTTCCTTTCCCTATCCCAGAAATACTTGGCCAATGGATAAGGGCGTTTTCAGAAAAGCTATTTCTATTTAAAACCCTGCCGAAATGAAATACAAATCTTTCAGATTATCACAATACGTGACACCGAAAGCTTGCAGACCCACAACCTAATATATCAAGTAGGTCTGGCGACCTCAAATTACGGAGCCTATTCCACATTAAGCTAACACGCCGTAATAATATAGGAATTACCATTCGAAGATGAGTAAAACCAATCCCACTCACTCACTCATTGCCGCTGGCCACTGGAATCCATTTTACTCCGGCCACTGCTGGCGGCGAGGAATGTCTAGTCATCTTGCAGATATCCATTATCAAGAACTCAACAATAATCGATTTGCCGAAATCTAAATGAATTCGTATACTCTCTGAAGAAAGAGTCAATAAGAGGTCGCTTCTGTTGAGGTATTCCTAACTAATGACTATTCCAAGTAACATTGATAGGGTTTTCAAAGTTGATTCGCATACCATATTGCAGCGTTCACTCTGTACAGCACGTGTGGCTATTTCTGTCAATGCATTAGAAAAGAGGGTTGTATGGAATCTGAGCATATGTCATTGAATGTAATACACGTTATATTTGCTTATATTATTCCACCCTTATTTAATCCAAGGAATAAAGTTCTTGAACATCAGATTTCTTGTCATCTGATGCTTACTAATGCAACTGAAGGGGGCACGGGTGGCCCAGTCGTCTAAGGCGTCGCAATTCGCTGTGCAGAGTTGGGTCCCTTGGACATGCCCGAAACCTATGATCGTGGGTTCGAATCCCGGTTCGCCCCGATTACGTTTCTAGGTTTGTCAGCACCCTATCCGTGATCGTGGGTTTCACCGAAGTGGTAAACGTCTGGGACCTGCATCACTTAGGGCTTTCCTCCCACATTAAGCTGGCACGGGGTGAACCGGGATTCGAACCCATAATCATAGGTTTCTAGCGTGCCCAAGGGACGCAACTCTGCACAGCGAATCGCGGCGCCTTAGACGACTTGGCCACCCGTGCCCCCTTGACAACGGTATAAGGATATATACCGAAGTTGTTTTCATAAATTGTGTCTACCTTGACTGAATGAGGTCACTGTGACGTAGATAAGTGTATACTGTGATGTCATTACCTACTGTGCTGTTACTCAACACTAGTGAACATATGTCAATATTACGTTGTCATCGATCCCAATTGTGTGGATCGATGCTCATGATATCAATCACTGGATTGTCTGGTCCAGACTCGATTATTTACACACCGCCGTCATATAACTGGAATGTTGCTTAGTGCGGTGTTAAACAACACACACACACACACACACACACACACACACACACACACACACACACACACACACACACACAGAGTATTACGTCCACTGTGGTCCGTAAACATGTCTACACTCTGAAGGGTCCGCGATATCATTATTAGATCATATGTATGGTTCATACATGTATATATATTGTATTACTAGTAACTCGACTACCTTGAGCAGTAGAGATAATAAATGTCCCTATTCTCCCCTTTATCCCACAAGTAAATAAATGACGAAGTATACTTTCAGTGATATTTCAGCTAGGATTGTTTACTGGTTATCAAGTGATATCAAATTTATCATCAGAGTCATACCATTTCGAGATAAAGTAACGACTTGTGTCTCTGACAATGGCAAAATGACCGGTCGTCTGATAAACTTGCAGCATCCCCCTTCGAATAGCAAATGGTTGGCAAAAACAAACATCTAACTTACAATAGAAAGACCTTCTTAGTTTATCACCTCCGTAGGGATTCCGCTGTGATATAACTCGAATACTGATGGGGTGCCTTTGACATAAAGTAACAAACTAAGGTAAAAACAAACTAGGACATTCTCATTATCATGAACAAACATTTATGAATTTATAGGCTATAACCCATCAAAGGACAGGCAGAAAAGTTTGTTTTTTTTCACGTTGTCAGGTTTCTGAAAAATATGCTGTAATGTGTACAATAGCCATTCCCCAGTGTCTCGAAGTGGCATTAGCGCAGGAAAGAGGTGAATAATGGTTTTAATAATGTTTTTACATTGTGTACATTATTGAATACAGAAATAATATTGATCTCATGAAAAGCTTCCAGAAACTGTCCATATAAAATCCTCAGCTGATTGTATCCACGTGTATATAGGCTAAACGGCCCCGTGCCGCACTGGAATACAATTAATTGAATATAAAACCGCTTCTTCTGATAAGGAGAAGGCCCGGTGTAGCAATGTGTAATATAAAAGAAACGGTTTCTTTTATTCGCAGGTGGTTTATTTGTTTTTGTCGTCTTTGTAAAATGAGTTCCTCTTGTCGTTTCAGATTCCAAGTCGAGACAGACAAACCACATCCAGCTGGGGAATCGTCTAAATCTACAAAACAACGTCAATGTTTGGCAGTATTGCCAACAAATGCTACAGGACTTCGATCGCAATCTGATTGTGCACGGATTTAGATCGTGAAAGAAGCTCTTATTTTGAAAATACTGGTTTGGAAGCTTTGATAAATATCATGAAAATTTACTGCGTATTTGTGTTGAATACACTTCAGGAATTTGACGGGTACGGATCAATACGAAAACTTTGACTCCATAGTTATGGCCGTTCAAATTGGAGCATTCTTTCCCGGAACTTTCCTGCCAATTTGTCACCAGCTTGTGATCGAACGTTCGGTTCCGCCGTTGAAGCATGTCTATTGTTGACCTTAAAAAGGACTTCCAATATTCTACGACGGGGTTTTCATGATGATATTTACCATAATTACCGCGCCATATCCTGGAGGAAGTCCCCGATACGCAGCCTCTAATGACTTTTCCCCATCGATTCAGAAACCCGCTGACGGGATCTGAAAATGATTTGGATATAGTTGCTACATGGTCTATAGGGAGATGAATATACTCCAACGGTGACCATTGAGTTCTCAAGGAGGGTCGAATGAAGAATTCAGAATTGCATATCGAAATTTTTACTTAGAAGCGACGAGACAGCGTTTGATATATCAATATGTGCATAAGGCTGTGTGTTTCAAAAATAACTCTAAATTAGAATTGACAGATTTCGAAATTGGATTTTGTGATGAAACTTCCGAAATGTCTCTGATCTGCCACTTCGATTTCGACAGGATGTGCAAGAAGATGGATTAACGTGTTATTTATCCTTCAATTTACAGATTTCATGTTGGAGACACGTACCCATGTGTCGAAGAATACGATGGAATACAGTGTGTTGCCTTCCTTTATCTATCGTCTAAAACGACGTAGATTTAAGTCTTTAGTACTGCTCTGTTTTCTTCTATCAATTCTGTTTCTCCTTCTCCCCCAGGAGAATGAAATCGAGGTTGACAGTGACGTAGCAAATCTCGTGTTATTTCACGAGAACCTACGGCGCCAGTCTGGTCAAATGTGTGTCCACCCTCAACTAGACCCCTTCCACCCCTCAGTTGTTGGATTCTTCCACGAAGTGCCAAAAATAGACTGTGGTAAGGATGAGGATTGGGTGTATGTTGTGAATGGAACATTCCATATTTCTAAGCGGGCGAGGAGGAGGTATGGTAAAATAACATGTGAATATGCGCCCATTGTCCGGGGACCAAACGACTATTCAGCCCGACATGCCGACCACATCAAACCCATGCCGGATGGATCGCCATTGATATCCGACTTCTTCAAGGTAGCGTGTGTTTCTGTTCACGGGAAAAGATACTTCAATATACATTCAGGGATTGCGTATAACAAAACCTTACACACTTGGGCAGAACAAACAAAACCAGTGTCTAAAACTGCTTTAGATCTGGACGTGTTGATGTTTGGATTCGATTCGCTGTCCAGGATGACATGGATACGGAAATTGCCTCAGACACGCGAATATTTTCTGAAACAATTAAATGGTATTGAGTTGGAAGGTTACAACATTGTCGGAGATGGAACCCCTCAGGCGCTGTTGCCAATACTAACAGGTAAACGGGAAGAAGAACTTCCCGAGGCGAGAAGGGGGAAGTCAGGAGCCAAACCTGTTGATAACCACCCCTGGATCTGGAAGGACCTGAAAAACAATGGATACCTAACACTGTGGGCGGAGGATATGGCTTTCATTGGAACATTCCAAATGCGCATGTTGGGATTTGATCACCAACCAACTGATCACAGCATGAGGACATTTTATTTATCTGCTGAGCGAATGTATGCAAGAAACAAAAAGTGGTGTCTTGGATCAGTTCCCAGGCATCAGAATTTCATGAAATGGTTCCAAGATGCTTATATGATGTATGGGAAAAAGAGGAAATTTATGTTCGGTTTCCATGCGGAGACTAGTCACGATGACAACAACATGGCTCAAGTGGTGGACGAAGATACCAAAAAGTTTTTGGAATATTTGGAAAACCATGGTTATTTAAATAAAACTATTCTCATTCTAATGAGTGATCATGGGGCGAGGTTTTCGCAGGTTCGTGCAACGGCTCAAGGGAAGCTAGAAGAGCGTATGCCTTATTTTGCCTTTAGGTTTCCCCCGTGGTTTGAAAAACAATATCCAGAAATAGTTCGAAATGTGAGAAAGAATGTTAACAGACTAACAACACCTTTTGATGTACATGAAACATTCCATGATATATTAAACTACACCGGTGGAGGGGTAGGCAACATTGCTCAAAGAGGGATAAGTCTGTTCAAGGAAATTCCAAAAGAACGGACATGTACTCAAGCTGGCATCGAACCTCACTGGTGCGCATGTCTAGCATGGAAGGAGGTGAACAGTTCACATCCGGTGGTAAAAAAAGCTGCATCCGCCGCAGTGGACTACATAAACTCCTACACGGAGAGTCAAAGAGTTCAATGTGCTTATTTAAGGTTACGAACTGTGACAAGGTCTGTAAAGATTTCAACAAATTCCAACGTTTTAAAGTTTGAGAAAAGTTTCGATTATGATGGTCGTGTAGCTGATCTTTCAGGGAAGATGAAAACAGACGAAGATTTTTATCAAGTGACCTTCATTACAGAGCCAGGGAATGGCCATTTTGAAGTTACCCTCAAGCATTCACTGAATAGCAGTGAAATTATAATTAATGAAAAGGAAATAAGTAGGATAAACAGATACGGATCCGATCCAGCATGTGTTCAGGAGCAGTACCCACACCTCCGACCATATTGCTTCTGTAATACTCTACTGAAGTCCACTATCTGATTCGTGTTGTTGGATATAGTAGTGAGGTATAGATTTATGTTGCTTTATTTGGTGGTTCTACTAATAATGTATCAGGAAATATTACATGATTTGTGTATCATATATTGATCAGGATTTAATCAAAGACATGAACTGTTACCTTCAGGTCATATTTCATATGGCATTACTGGTGTGGTGTCACCATACCATATCACTTCTGTGCAACATGTTCCATTGGTTTTGGACATTAGATAATCTTGCATATGCAGATTTAAGCAAACAGGTCAAATTTCATATGGCATTACTGGTGTGGTGTCACCATACCTTATCACTTCTGTGAAACATGTTCCATTGGTTTTGGACATTAGATAATCTTGCATATGCAGATTTAAGCAAACAAACAGATAGATATATTTATATTTCACATGTAAGTTATATTTGCACAAGGAATCAAATATATGCTCATGCGTCTGTCCTTAACCATTCAACAGTATATAAGGCTGCAACCAAATGATTATTCATTCGCCAGAATCGCTTTAGAACTGTAAACCTATTCTTACATGGTACAAATTACGAGTCACGACTTAAAGGCATTGTTTCGTTGGGGAATGAGTGTGTTTAAACAGTATTCAAGTTATATCAAGGCGTGACAGCTAAATGTTGGAGGAAAGCACTATGAGATGCAGGTCTTAGACATTTACCACTTCCTTGGAACCATGAGCACGGGTAAGGTGCTGACAAACTAGGGCTAACCTGGATTTGATCCCAAGTGTTTCAAACGTGTCTGGGGCCTACAGAACGCATATCAGAACGTCAACTAATTAACTTTCCGCCCACATTTAAGAGGAATGAATCAATACTTTGTTGTGGCCTAAACCAACTTTTACCAAATGAAACACCCATCTATATCACTGCCTATTTCCTTGCGTGTGCAGATAAATGTTCAATAGAAGTATGATGACGATATACAACACCTTCCAGTGTGGCTAACGTCTTCCTAATGCAAACGATGCTGGGTTATTTATTAATTAATATATGACTTTTAAACATATTACTAATTTGAGTAAATGTGAGTCACATGAAAGGATACATTGACACAGATATATTGTTTACACATAACCTGTAACATGCGGTGACATAGGTAATTGATGAACATGTTTATATTGCATTTTACTGGGTTTTTTAAAAGAGGCGGCAGAATGACATTTGCTTAATTAACAGATACAAGAACGTGGGTGATGCATGTATATCTTGCCTTATATATATGGACAAATAAAGGGTGTGGCATAATCCCTCAATGTCGTCAGTGTTGCAGTTCATGCACAGACGATATTAAATGGGGGAAATACAGTATAACAAATACGTGACTTATGTTTTGTTTCACTTATCCAATACACATGAAGTGTACAAGCATCCATAAGTGGAAATGACCGAAGACGAGTGGCGTGGAGAGACGTGGAGTGGAGAGGAGTGGAACGGAGTGAAAAGGGTTTATTTCATGGCGCGTGGTGCTCTTGTTGAAATCGGTTTGCGAAAAGTCTATGAGGATGGGAAAGTAAATGGGAAATGATTACATTGTGTTCTGTTGCGAGCATTATATGATGTCATAGAGGTATGTCCACAAGAACTTACGTAAATTGCTTCGCTGTGACAAGTCCGAAAAACAAGCAGGGACCTTTGACCTTTGGAAAATGGACAAAACTTGAGTGACGTGCAGTGATCAAGTACTGACAGGATGTTGCGGGAAAGGCTTGAAACCTCACTCACTCACTCACTCACTCACTCACTCACTCCCCATCTACTCACTCACTCACTAACCCACAGACCCCATCCACCCACTCACTCACTCACTCACCCATCTACTCACTCACTCACTCACTCACTCATATAGGAGTTTATACTTATATTCATATCAGCAAAGCAGCAGTAAATCAGAGAACGTATAGCACTGTATAAAATATATGTTTAAATTTTGTTAAATGTTCACCTCACTGGATACCAGACAAATTACATTTTAGGACACCAATATTTCAGCAAGTGCCATTACATAAGCCGTGAACTAAGTGTCAGAATTTAAAACATGCTCTTATCATGCTTGAGAAACAAGACATCATATATACAAACCTGTCCGTGCTGTGTTCTCCCTGGGTGTTTCCTTGGTACACAAGGGACCTTGGAAGATAATGAGATTCAGGTTTCTGAAGTTTACAACGTTCCCCTCTGACGCCTTTCTTGTGCACATATAACGGGGATATTAAGTAACCACTCGAGATGTGTAGCAGCGATTACCAGCATATAATACTGGGAGCCTTCACGTTTCCTTCTGCTCTGAAATGAAGGGTTGAGCGAAGAGAACGGTGATTTGAACATCAAAAGTTGACACACAATGCTGCCTTTTTCCGGATGTCTTCTATGTTCTAGCATACAAAATGGGTCGCGTTTTTGCATCTTTCTTTACTTAGATGCACCCACGCACAAGCACGCAAGCACACACACACACACACACACACACACACACACACACACACATACAGATTGAAATTGAAATATACACAATTTACTGGTGTTGGAAAGTTCCTTTTGTCTCGAGGAAGGGCCTATGAAGGAGTCTTAGAATTCGTCTATGATCAACTAAAACCTTTAATTTAAAACGCTATGGCTTTCCGATTATTTCAAGGCTCCACAAATCGTTGTTTGCTGTTGCGTTCCATAGCTGTGGAAGGATCCGCTCGACTTCGGTTCAAATCCCAGATATTCCCCCGATTGATCTGATCTGTGAGCACCACACCTGCTCGTTGAAAATATCTTTTCACTCGATCATCCATCCTACAAGATGACACCCAGTGATGAATGAAAATAATGTTTAAAGCGGCGTTAAAGCATAACCTCACTCATTCATAAACTCACTGAAAGCGTCCTCGTCTCAACCTCTTCAGCAGACTTATCAGACACATAAAGTGACACAGTATACTGACTCCGAGCCGAGCCGAGCCGAACCGAGCCGAGCCGAGCCGAGCCGAGCCGAGCCGAGCCGACCAGTCCTTGTTTTAGCCCCGTAATGCCGAGCGCCAGACAGGGTAACGACAAGTACCATCTTTTAACGTCTTTTGGTATAACGCTACCGGGATCGAGCCCTGTCCACCAGCCCACAGAGGCTGTCTGAATAACATAAAGCTAAGCTGAAGGTGAGACACAAATGTTGATTTAAAACGCTTATATGTTGAATGGTTCTACGCTGATGTCACACGTTAATTGCTCTAGGAACTGGAAACTACAGCTATTACCTGGAGCAGACAAGCTCCGAATTACTTCAGGATCAAACGTTACTGAATTTATCTCAATTCCGAGAAATGTTTATTGAACGATAGTCTGTGGCTGGTACTCACACAAATTTCCCTTGTCATTCCTGGAAATCGTTTCATTTCGGGAGTTCTATTTAATTGTGTGCAAACAACGGGTTAATCAAACATTCGCACGACCTTCAATAGTAACGTTAATCACAACGTTGACTCCTTGGAGAAATTGTTTTGTGTGTCTCTGCCTCCGTTGGGACGGTTGCTTCGTTTTAGGTCACTTGCATCGTCACGAATGTTCCATAAAGTCGGCAAGACCAATCTATTAGATACCATTTTCCAGTTCACCTGTAACGAGCTCTTGCGTGCGTTCAATTAAGAAATTGCAAGGCACGACAACTATTGCTCTAAAGGGTCTAATGTTTATCCCCTCGAGGAGACTGGCTTATTAGTGAAATGATTTATTTATACGTGGCTCTCAAATAAGCTTCATTTCTCACCCGTGTCAACATGGATAAAGGAAAGTGATCGTGGAGGCTACAGACAATATTTACGTTCTGGTTTGGTGTGTGTGCGCGTGTGAGTATGATCATTGAGCCAACGATGGAATCAGATTTACTACCTATTAGATAATTAACGCTATGTAGGGCGTGTGGCTTGGTAAAATACTTCGAATGATTAAGAGTAAGTGACCGCTAAGAACATCGTTTCAATTATATCGCTGCGTGCAAGCTTAATCTTGGAGAAAAACCCTAAATGATGCAAGTCTCAGATTTTTACCACTGTGGTGAGACCCACTAGCACGTGTGTGGTGCTAACAAACCCAGAAACATTATGTTGGCGAACCGGGATTGAACCAATAGAAAACCAAATTCGCTGATGCACGGATCCACACAGATCGTTCTCGTTTAACAGCGGGGAACATAGCTTCACTGGGATATATGTTACAGTGTGAAACAAAGCCTCTTCTGTAACTTGGTGTCAAGCTTCACTGTGACATCGCATCCCCCTTAGTACATGACCTTACACCTCCAGGCTGAGGGAAATGTACGCCAAAACTCACCCAAACCGATAGATACAGTCAATGCTTTAAGAGGTTATGAGGCTCATCCTAAATAAATAAATCCATCACCGGCTACGTAATATAGCTATCCTAAATATATCCATAACCATCTAAGTAACACAGCTCATCCTAAATAAATCCATCACATCTACGTAACACAGCTCATCCTAAATACATCCATCACATCTACGTAACATAGCTCATCCTAAGAAAAACATCACCATCTACGTAACACAGCTCATCCTAAATAACTCCATCACCATCTACGTAACAAAGCTCATCCTAAATAAATCCATCACATCTACGTAACATAGCTCATCCTAAATAAACCCATCACATCTACGTAACACAGCTCATCCTAAATAAATCCATCACATCTACGTAACACAGCTCATCCTAAATAAATCCATCACATCTACGTAACATAGCTCATCCTAAATAAATCCATCACCATCTACGTGACATAGCTCATCCTAAATTAATCAATCACATCTAAGTAACGCAGCTCATCCTAAATACATCCTTCACATCTACGTAGCATAGCTCATCCTAAATAAATCCACCACCATCTACGTAACATAGCTCATCCTAGATAAATCCATCACATCTACGTGACAAAGCTCATCCTAAATAAATCCATCACATCTACGTAACAAAGCTCATCTTGAATAACCCATCACCATTTACATTGTACGTGACAAACTCATACTAAATAAACCCATCACCATCTACGTAACATAGCTATCCTAAATACATCCATCACCAGCTGCGTGACATGGCTCATGCATATGTCAGCAGTCAACAGAAACAAGATTTTAGGTAACTTCCAAAATTAACATCAGACTAAAGTAACATACAGTATGCCTAAAATAAGAGTATGAAAGGATATTCAAAATGCAAGGTATTGATCGCGGCTTTGCAACTAGCCCTTCTGGTTAGGTATTTTTAGCTTACGTGTGACAGCCCAAAGGTTCGAGATGCTACAAACACCCAGGTCAAGTCAAATAAGAAATTATTCCAACCATTTTTTCCCAAAGGGCTTTCCGGAACCCTACTACTGCCACTGGTATTCAAAACCTACTTCCTGGACAAGGATATCCATTTCAATTTAGAGTTTCATTATTTCTTTTACCAGCTGATAAAGTTACGGCTTTTGTCGTTAAGAGTTTTCTAATTTCCTACTTGATTTTCTCGTAACCATGGTTTCAAGTATTTTTTGGGTCAGATAGGAAACGGGCGGCTCATATTGACATCACTTGTTCCTATGTTTTTTACGATAGCGTAATTGTGTGATAAACCCGCAATTTTCCATTGTGGCGAAGCTAGCCCACGAAGCGCATAAGCTCTCGAGAAGTCCACATTTCCTCATTGGACCATGAGAAGGGTACTTACAGGTTGAGTCTGACATGAACATCTTTTCAGCATGACGGGATAATTGCAATACTACAAAGTAATGTTGTGTGATTAACGGCAATATGCCCCAGGACAGGTTGTAATAGGAAAAACGTCCTTGTCAGGACGTAGCTGTGGATGGACTTTAGCGTCATGCTGAGGTTTTTCATTAGAGTCAGTTGCTCTGAAACATCTTATATAAAGAAGCTCATGAACAGAAGGAGCCTCAAATCACTATTGTCTGAACTGTCAAGACCGTTTTTTAATTGTTTTTATGTCATTGTAAAGCACCTGCTTTGATTCTATCTGATTTGTTATCATACGTCTGACAAGAAAGTAAGATGTTTACATTTCAGAAAATAAATCTGTACCAAAGCAAACACATTTGATCTAATCTAAAAGCGTACTAGGTGTAGAAAGAACGGAAAAGCATTATTTTACGTTAACCTGAAGCAAAACTGTTTGTTTGGTACATTTGTTTTGTAAAGGAAACTGTCACCTTGCACGAGTAGTTTAAAGCTGAAAGCAGAGTCGGTTTCACGCTTCCGACTATTTTATAAGCATCCGTTTATGAATCATAATCAAGTAGCGAAAAGGTGAGCGTATCCTGTTCCACCGGTTCCACCTGTAAATATACTGGAGTACATGTAAAACATGGAAATGCATCGAACGTCATATTTGTCACTGAAAGTTGGAAATGTCATCCACATCTCTACCATAACTCTTTTTGAAAGCTTCACTGGGAACATGTTAGTCTGTCTTACAGACCCTGATACATTTATATCAACTACAGCCCATGCAAGTCTATAATGTTTGGCAAGTCTAGATTACTGCAGTATCTGAAAATGAAGAGAATCACTGGGCTCCCTTTTTATTAGATTTTTATTAAGATAACTGAACAACTGTTTTTTTCTGTACGATATGTTCATTTCAGAGACTAGATGTTAGTCTAGGAACATGTGTGTTGTAAGCTTGATCAAACAACTTTTGAGCAAGAGTCATGGCATGGTATTACCATCTGAAACTTCAGTTCAGAATCAAGTATATTCCAGTCAAGTATATTTCGACATCATCAACCATATCGAAATCTGCAACAAAAGGCAAATTTTCAATTCGAGATTTCAAATCCTTAAGTTAGCCATCTCCATGTAAACATTTACTTGGAAAACTATGTAAATACCTGTATTGCAGCTATGAAAGAAGACGTGATTACGTAAAGGCTGTAAATCTGTAAATTTGTACTTGACATTACCTTATTTCATGTACCACACTATTTCAGATGTATGTATTGAATATGGGCCAGTGGCCTCAGCACAAATAAAATGCTTCCCCTATAAAAAGTTCGAACATACACTGAATGTATTACAAAGGAAGACCTCAGGCAAATATGTGAAATACTACCCATTTGCAACGTGGTGGGAATACCGAGATATTCCAAACCTTTACAAAATAAACAACTTCGGGAAATGTGTATTTACGATTATTTTATCTAATAATGAACCTCGAACTGTACCTAACACACAATGATATCAAATACACGTATCGCCCCATTGACGTCATCTCTGTGCCATCAGCCACATCAAGTATAGGTCTTCACCTGAAATGACATTACATTCCCTGTCAGAGTTTGAGTGATATATGTCCAATTATATGAAGTGCACTGTTTTTAATAATACATATTAGCCACCACGTGGTGGCTCGGCAGATAAACAGCATGTTTTTTTAATTCAATACATCTTTTCACTTTGGCTACAAAATCAAACAAAAATCATAATATCTCAATGTGGCATCATACAAACATCACTCAATCTTACATCCTTCTGAAATTAATAATACAGAGAGTCGCGTTCTTTCCACGAAGACCTTCGTTTCATGTGGAAGCGAATCAATGTTATCAAAGGGCCAGGATCGAAGTTCACATTCAAGCCTGGTTAAACATTAAGCCCCTTTTACTTGTCAAAGATCCAAGAATGTGAAACTTAAACTGCCGAGATTAAAGGCCTGGGGATCAGACCACATGTGCGCGGCCTCATTCACCACAGATATGACGAGTAATATAGAAATGAGATATTGTGTTGCGTTAGAGTATTAACGTGTTTGAAGAAAGAGACTCGTATCTTCTTGTTAAAGTGGGATGATCTTCCGATAATCACGGTTGTGTGCGTCATGGCTCTCTATTTTTCAATGATAATACGCATAATACATAAAGCGTTAGATTTGTTTCTGGTCACATTGGCTTAAAAATGTCAGATTGAAGGTATCACTGGTATAACTCTAAACTCTATATCTTTAACGGTTCCGATTTGTGACGCATACTTTAGTACCGATGGTTTTATGAGTAAAACCCAAAGAATGTTCTAACTCTCCCAGATAGAGCCTGTAACATCACATCCTCCCCACATGTCTCCATACTCCCCAAGTCAGAGCCTGTCATATCACATCCTGTCCACATGTCTCCATACTCCCCGACACAGAGCCTGTCACATCACATCCTCCCTACATGTCTCCATACTCCCCCACACAGAGCCTGTCACATCACATCCTCCCTACATGTCTCCATACTCCCCGACACAGAGACTGTCACATCACATCCTCCCTCCATGTCTCCATACTCCCCGACACAGAGCCTGTCACATCACATCCTCCTAACATGTCTCCATACTCCCCGCCACAGAGCCTGTCACATCACATCCTCCCTACATGTCTCCATACTCCCCGACACAGAGTCTGTCACATCACATCCTCCCCACATGTCTCCATACTCCCCGACACAGAGTCTGTCACATCACATCCTCCCTACATGTCTCCATACTCCCCGACACAGAGCCTGTCACATCACATCCTCCCTACATGTCTCCATACTCCCCGACACAGAATCTGTCACATCACATCCTCCCTACATGTCTCCATACTCCCCGACACAGAGCCTGTCACATCACATCCTCCCTACATGTCTCCATACTCCCCGACACAGAGTCTGTCACATCACATCCCCCCTACATGTCTCCATACTCCCCGACACAGAGCCTGTCACATCACATCCTCCCTACATGTCTCCATACTCCCCGACACAGAGTCTGTCACATCACATCCTGCCTACATGTCTCCATACTCCCCGACACAGAGTCTGTCACATCACATCCTCCCTACATGTCTCCATACTCCCCGACACAGAGTCTGTCACATCACATCCTCCCTACATGTCTCCATACTCCCCGACACAGAGTCTGTCACATCACATCCTCCCTACATGTCTCCATACTCCCCGCCACAGAGTCTGTCACATCACATCCCCCCTACATGTCTCCATACTCCCCGACACAGAGTCTGTCACATCACATCCTCCCTACATGTCTCCATACTCCCCGACACAGAGTCTGTCACATCACATCCTCCCTACATGTCTCCATACTCCCCGCCACAGAGTCTGTCACATCACATCCTCCCCACATGTCTCAATACTCCCCGCCACAGAACCTGTCACATCACATCCTCCTAACATGTCTCCATACTCCCCGACACAGAGTCTGTCACATCACATCCTCCCCACATGTCTCCATACTCCCCGACACAGAGTCTGTCACATCACATCCTCCCTACATGTCTCCATACTCCCCGACACAGAGTCTGTCACATCACATCCTCCCCACATGTCTCCATACTCCCCGACACAGAGTCTGTCACATCACATCCTCCCTACATGTCTCCATACTCCCCGACACAGAGCCTGTCACATCACATCCTCCCTACATGTCTCCATACTCCCCGACACAGAATCTGTCACATCACATCCCCCCTACATGTCTCCATACTCCCCGACACAGAGCCTGTCACATCACATCCTCCCTACATGTCTCCATACTCCCTGACACAGAGTCTGTCACATCACATCCTGCCTACATGTCTCCATACTCCCCGACACAGAGTCTGTCACATCACATCCTCCCTACATGTCTCCATACTCCCCGCCACAGAGTCTGTCACATCACATCCTCCCTACATGTCTCCATACTCCCCGACACAGAGTCTGTCACATCACATCCTCCCTACATGTCTCCATACTCCCCGCCACAGAGTCTGTCACATCACATCCTCCCTACATGTCTCCATACTCCCCGACACAGAGTCTGTCACATCACATCCTGCCTACATGTCTCCATACTCCCCGACACAGAGTCTGTCACATCACATCCCCCCTACATGTCTCCATACTCCCCGCCACAGAGTCTGTCACATCACATCCTCCCTACATGTCTCCATACTCCCCGACACAGAGTCTGTCACATCACATCCTCCCTACATGTCTCCATACTCCCCGACACAGAGCCTGTCACATCACATCCTCCCTACATGTCTCCATACTCCCCGCCACAGAGCCTGTCACATCACATCCTCCCTACATGTCTCCATACTCCCCGACACAGAGTCTGTCACATCACATCCTCCCCACATGTCTCCATACTCCCCGACACAGAGTCTGTCACATCACATCCTCCCTACATGTCTCCATACTCCCCGACACAGAGCCTGTCACATCACATCCTCCCTACATGTCTCCATACTCCCCGACACAGAATCTGTCACATCACATCCCCCCTACATGTCTCCATACTCCCCGACACAGAGCCTGTCACATCACATCCTCCCTACATGTCTCCATACTCCCCGACACAGAGTCTGTCACATCACATCCCCCCTACATGTCTCCATACTCCCCGACACAGAGCCTGTCACATCACATCCTCCCTACATGTCTCCATACTCCCCGACACAGAGTCTGTCACATCACATCCTGCCTACATGTCTCCATACTCCCCGACACAGAGTCTGTCACATCACATCCTCCCTACATGTCTCCATACTCCCCGACACAGAGTCTGTCACATCACATCCTCCCTACATGTCTCCATACTCCCCGACACAGAGTCTGTCACATCACATCCTCCCTACATGTCTCCATACTCCCCGCCACAGAGTCTGTCACATCACATCCCCCCTACATGTCTCCATACTCCCCGACACAGAGTCTGTCACATCACATCCTCCCTACATGTCTCCATACTCCCCGCCACAGAGTCTGTCACATCACATCCTCCCCACATGTCTCAATACTCCCCGCCACAGAACCTGTCACATCACATCCTCCTAACATGTCTCCATACTCCCCGACACAGAGTCTGTCACATCACATCCTCCCCACATGTCTCCATACTCCCCGACACAGAGTCTGTCACATCACATCCTCCCTACATGTCTCCATACTCCCCGACACAGAGTCTGTCACATCACATCCTCCCCACATGTCTCCATACTCCCCGACACAGAGTCTGTCACATCACATCCTCCCTACATGTCTCCATACTCCCCGACAAAGAGCCTGTCACATCACATCCTCCCTACATGTCTCCATACTCCCCGACACAGAATCTGTCACATCACATCCCCCCTACATGTCTCCATACTCCCCGACACAGAGCCTGTCACATCACATCCTCCCTACATGTCTCCATACTCCCTGACACAGAGTCTGTCACATCACATCCTGCCTACATGTCTCCATACTCCCCGACACAGAGTCTGTCACATCACATCCTCCCTACATGTCTCCATACTCCCCGCCACAGAGTCTGTCACATCACATCCTCCCTACATGTCTCCATACTCCCCGACACAGAGTCTGTCACATCACATCCTCCCTACATGTCTCCATACTCCCCGACACAGAGTCTGTCACATCACATCCCCCCTACATGTCTCCATACTCCCCGACACAGAGTCTGTCACATCACATCCTCCCTACATGTCTCCATACTCCCCGACACAGAGTCTGTCACATCACATCCTCCCTACATGTCTCCATACTCCCCGACACAGAGTCTGTCACATCACATCCTCCCCACATGTCTCCATACTCCCCGCCACAGAACCTGTCACATCACATCCTCCTAACATGTCTCCATACTCCCCGACACAGAGTCTGTCACATCACATCCTCCCCACATGTCTCCATACTCCCCGACACAGAGTCTGTCACATCACATCCTCCCTACATGTCTCCATACTCCCCGACACAGAGTCTGTCACATCACATCCTCCCCACATGTCTCCATACTCCCCGACACAGAGTCTGTCACCTCACATCCTCCCTACACGTCTCCATACTCCCTGACACAGAATCTGTCACATCACATCCCCCCTACATGTCTCCATACTCCCCGACACAGAGCCTGTCACATCACATCCTCCCTACATGTCTCCATACTCCCCGACACAGAGTCTGTCACATCACATCCTCCCTACATGTCTCCATACTCCCCGACACAGAGTCTGTCACATCACATCCTCCCTACATGTCTCCATACTCCCCGCCACAGAGTCTGTCACATCACATCCTGCCTACATGTCTCCATACTCCCCGACACAGAGTCTGTCACATCACATCCTCCCTACATGTCTCCATACTCCCCGCCACAGAGTCTGTCACATCACATCCTCCCTACATGTCTCCATACTCCCCGCCACAGAGTCTGTCACATCACATCCTCCCTACATGTCTCCATACTCCCCGCCACAGAGTCTGTCACATCACATCCCCCCTACATGTCTCCATACTCCCCGACACAGAGTCTGTCACATCACATCCTCCCTACATGTCTCCATACTCCCCGACACAGAGTCTGTCACATCACATCCTCCCTACATGTCTCCATACTCCCCGCCACAGAGTCTGTCACATCACATCCTCCCCACATGTCTCAATACTCCCCGCCACAGAACCTGTCACATCACATCCTCCCTACATGTCTCCATACTCCCCGACACAGAGTCTGTCACATCACATCCTCCCCACATGTCTCCATACTCCCCGACACAGAGCCTGTCACATCACATCCTCCCTACATGTCTCCATACTCCCCGACACAGAGCCTGTCACATCACATCCTCCCCACATGTCTCCATACTCCCCGACACAGAGCCTATCAGATCACATCCTCCTAACATGTCTCCATACTCCCCGACACAGAGCCTGTCACATCACATCCTCCCAACATGTCTCCATACTCCCCGACACAGAGCCTGTCACCTCACATCCTCCCCACATGTCTCCATACTCCCCGACACAGAGCCTGTCACATCACATCCCCCCTACATGTTTCCATACTCCCCGACACAGAGTCTGTCACATCACATCCCCCCTACATGTCACAATACTCCCCGCCACAGAGTCTGTCACATCACATCCTCCCCACATGTCTCCATACTCCCCGACACAGAGCCTTTCACATCACATCCTCCCCACATGTCTCCATACTCCCCGACACAAAACCTGTCACATCACATCCTCCCCACATGTCTCCATACTCCCCGACACAGAGCCTGTCACATCACATCCTCCCTACATGTCTCCATACTCCCCGACACAGAGTCTGTCATAGCACATCCTCCTAACATGTCTACATACTCCCCGACACAGAGCCTGTCACATCACATCCTCCCCACATGTCACCGTACTCCCCGACACAGAGCCTGTCACATCACATCCTCCCTACATGTCACCATACTCTCCGACACAGAGTGTGTCACATCACATCCTGCCCACATGTCTCCATACTCCCCAAGTCAGAGCCTGTCACATCACATCCTCCCCACATGTCTCCATACTCCCCGACACAGAGCCTGTCACATCACATCCTCCCTCCATGTCTCCATACTCCCCGACACAGAGCCTATCACATCACATCCTCCCTCCATGTCTCCATACTCCCCAAGTCAGAGCCTCTCTCATCTCATCCTCCCTACATGTCTCCATACTCCCCGACACAGAATCTGTCACATCACATCCCCCCTACATGTTTCCATACTCCCCGACACAGAGTCTGTCACATCACATCCCCCCTACATGTCACAATACTCCCCGCCACAGAGTCTGTCACATCACATCCTCCCTACATGTCTCCATACTCCCCGACACAGAGCCTTTCACATCACATCCTCCCCACATGTCTCCATACTCCCCGACACAAAACCTGTCACATCACATCCTCCCCACATGTCTCCATACTCCCCGACACTGAGCCTGTCACATCACATCCTGCCTACATGTCTCCATACTCCCCGACACAGAGTCTGTCATAGCACATCCTCCTAACATGTCTACATACTCCCCGACACAGAGCCTATCACATCACATCCTGCCCACATGTCACCATACTCCCCGACACAGAGCCTGTCACATCACATCCTCCCCACATGTCTCCATACTCCCCGACACAAAACCTGTCACATCACATCCTCCCCACATGTCTCCATACTCCCCGACACAAAACCTGTCACATCCCATCCTCCCCACATGTCTCCATACTCCCCGACACAGAGCCTGTCACATCACATCCTCCCTACATGTCTCCATACTCCCCGACACAGAGTCTGTCATAGCACATCCTCCTAACATGTCTACATACTCCCCGACACAGAGCCTATCACATCACATCCTCCTAACATGTCTCCATACTCGCCGAGACAGAGCCTAACCTCTAACATCCCCACTGCGGCCAGCGTCCTCTGGGGAGTCCATCTATAAAGAGGAAAGATGTAATCCGTGCACATTACCTGATGCAGAAACTTAGCTGCAAGATGAGATGTCTTCTTTTAAATTGAAGACAAAAATATCCCCCCTCGCATATAACCAGGTTCACTTTTTTGAACTAATACGCGGAGAGATAATCAAATTCTAACTCTTGCCGTCAGCGCGACAGCATCGACAGCATTAACCATCAGCTACGTTTAATGTCAATTTCTATTGAGCAATGGTGGGAAGTAGATGATAGGCACCTCCTTTCCAAGACAGGTTACGTGTCAGCATATGTCAGTCAATCTATCTGGTTTGGTCACTTCGTGAATTGGATAGTAGGCATTCGCCTTTTCAAAAGCCTGAATCCCCCTTTTATAAGGTCATCCTTGAGGAGATTATTTGGTCATGACTTATTCATCATCATCATCATCATAATGTCATCATTCATAATCATAAGGAGGCCAATGGGACGGAGTTGGCTCCAGGGTCTCTGTTCTTGTCGTCACTGGCAATGGAGGAGGTACATACTAGTATATGTGAATGACCAGATTGACTGATGAGCAGGACCTGTCGTTGGTGTAGGGACCTTTAGGACGATAAAGGCAGGAGATGGAGTTTTTATTAATCCCTTTTGAATCACCTGGCTCAGCAGTCCTTCTCCCTGAAATATTACGAATGATTTGTTTAAATTAATCTCAGATGTATCATAGATAAGAAATTAATACAGACATGCACATGGATTTATTATCAACAAATTCAGGTGCACATATGTCCAAGTGATGCAGTTATTTTATGTTCACCATCTTTATTACACCGACTGTGGTGCTGGCTCCACTGTGAACACACAGCTCAGCTAAGGGATGCAACTCTGTATAGTGTGATGGGGCGTTGGGCCGCTTTGACCTTCAGATGAAGGTTGTCATGGTGGTGCAATGCTAACATGTTTTGTGAGGGTAAAAGGCCCTTTTATACATTATTGATTTCTTCAACATGAATATTTACCGAAACAAATTGTAAACAATTTCCGAAATAACCAAGGATACCATGGCGGTGGTGCAGCTTAATGGATTAAATCTTCGCTCCTCATGCCGAAAGACCGGGTTTGATTCCTAATATGGGCACAATGTGTGGAGCCTATTTTTGGTATCTTGGTGCAGACTGTCATCTTACCTCGATGACGGTGGTACATATCATCACTGGTTCACTTGCTCCAATTCAGAGTGAGTGAGTGAGTGAGTATGGTTTTACGCCGCTTTTAGCAATATTCCAGCAATATCACGGCGGGGGACACCAGAAATGAGCTTCACACATTGTATCCATGTCGGGAATCGAACCCGGGTCTTCGGCGTGACGAGCGAACGCTTTAACCGCTAGGCTACCCGACCGCCCCTCCAATTCAGAATTAAGTCTTTAATCAATTTATTTAAAGAAAATTACCTCCATTTTCCTAAGTGTGTTTATTCCAATGCATGTACTTCACGTCTGTTTTAAGTAACAATGTGAAAGAAGGTTGGAGAAAAGCCCGAAGTGATGCATGTATGGTACAGGGAAACAAAGAATCTAATCGGGTTGAACCTTGGATTCAAACCACAACAATGGCATCCTGCTACACATACAGGTCACAAACACAATGTACTGTACTTCAGGGGCGGTCGTGTAGCCCAGTGGCCAAAGTGTTCGCCCGCTGAAGGCCCGGGTTCGAATCCTCACATGGGTACAATGTGTGAATCCCATTTCTGGTGTCCCCCGCCGTCATATTGCTGGAGGGCGGTGGTAGCCTACTGGTTAAAGCGTTCGCTCGTCACGCCGAAGACCCGGGTTCGATTCCCGACATGGGTACAATGTGTGAAGCCCATTTCTGGTATCCCCCGACGTGATATTGCTGGAATATTGCTTAAAGCGGTGTAAAGCCATACTCACTCACTCACTCACCCATATTGCTGGAAAAGTGTTAAAAGCGACACAAAACCTTACTCCCTTCTGTATTTCACAATTCCTTTGACCTAAGTGTAAACACATAATCATTCCATGAAAACACCGCGCTGAGAGTAATAATGGAAAAACAGATTTGTCACTCCAAGGATCTAAAGGTACATATGAACCAGGACATGTATTACGTTGTGTGATTTCAGGTGCTATGCAATATATAATGAAAATACATCATTATCATGAGCTTTAATTGTATTTACTACGCAATAGGAAAACAATGCAAACATACTTTTTTCCAGAATTCCAATATGTAACAATCCTGAAACAATATCATTGAGGAACCAGTAGCACTGTAAATACAGGTGTCGACCTTCTGACAGGTTTTCGAACACGCGAGCAGACCTTGAACAGACAAATGAGTGTAAAAAAAAAAATCTTACTCGTACTTTTCATTGTGTTAGTTTCACGTATTGACGTGCATATATCAACGTGTGCGGTAACTGCTCGCCTTCAATGTCAACAGTACAATAGAAAAACTCGCTTATACGTTCTGGCCACGTTGTAGATAGGGCAATTCGTAGCTGTTCAGGCCTGCTGCAGTCGCTATCGAGTGTTTTTCCCCTTTAGCGTTGATGACTGTGAGAAATGTTTGGCGCATGGATTGAAAAGGACGGGTTACGGTGTTACTAAAGGTGACTCTCCGTATGCAGGTTCAAGGTCGTTTCGAGTTCTAGACCTGGGACGCATGTAATTCAAGAGTCATTGGATTTCATCCCAGAGATGTTCTATGGGGTTGGGGGCTTTAAATCCCGCCTTGGGCGATAAATTGTGTTGGTGTGGACGTTCAATGCACTCGCAACATAGCCGTAGCCAAAAGTCGACCAATGGCGCTTTCTCTTTCAAAAGACCGCAAGCGTGGCATTGTGCATCACACGTTGAGAAACAAATGACAGACATATTGAAGTGCCCTTTTAAAAACATTACTTCCCGGACATGACGTGTACATTGTGACTTGTTAATACCATGCCACGATCCAGACCATCTGGCTACCAGTGTAGGGCTTCATGCAACCTAATTTTACGTGCACATTAATATGCCATCAGTGATGTGAGCTCACTCAGTGATTGGCAACAAAATATGACCGAGACACATCATGCGCCAGAATATATTTTTATGTAACTAGTTCTTCTATTCGCTAATTTTTTTGGTTCAGTATACATGTTTAATGATTTAAATATTTTCATTTCTGATGAAAAACGGGGGCACGGATGGCCCAGTCGTCTAAGGCGCCGCGATTCGCTGTGCAGAGTTGCGTCCCTCTGGGCACGCCAGAAACCTATGATTGTGGGTTCGAATCCCGGTTCGCCCCGATTATGTTTCTAGGTTTGTCAGCACCATACCCGTGTTCGTGGGTTTCACCGAAGTGGTAAATGTCTGAGACCTGCATCACTTCGGGCTTTCCTCCCACATTAAGCTGACACGCTGTGATATAACTGGAATACTGTTAAAAGCGGCGTTAAACCCAACTCAGTCACTCACTATGATGAAAAAGAAATGGTTCTACTAGATCCAAATTACGAATGTGTACTCTCACATAAATACATGCATGTATTCGGGTGTTACGTTTACTTCTTGCACTGTGTTAGTCTAACAACTTTTCAAATGCACTACATGGAAATAAATGATAAGTGATTTCAGATGTTTGCAGTGACCCTATAACCTGAAATATATTCAAACAGGCGAAGAGATGGGGGTGTTTAGTTGTTCAACATTCTGTATAATATCTGTTAAAATCGTGCAATGAAGTAACGGATGACGAAAAGGATAAAAACCCTGTGCCATTAGGATAGTGGTGATTAACGTCCAGAACAGTTAAATCCCATTTGCCTTCTGTTTAAATGGTCTCTAATTCCTTCACGTGTATAAACGCTTTCACATGCCTAAGGCTATCAAAATATTTATAAATACACCATTAAACAAGCAGAAACTTGTCATTCAAGAATGTGTAAAAGGCTTTATATATTAATGGTTGTACTGTCTAATATGTGAGGCGATTTTTTTACGTTGAAGTTTAGCTTTGCCGATGGGACGATTTCTTCATGATGCGTAAATCTGATTGATAGACGTACGAGTAGATGGGGGCCCAATCGTCTGAGGCGCCGCAAATCGCTGTACAGAGTTGCGTTTCTTGGGCAAATCGATGAGCAGCGTTGCGTCCCTTGGGCACGCCAGAAACCTATAATACGTTGGTTCGAATCCCGGTTCTCCCCGATTATGTTTCTAGGTTTGTCAGCACTTTACCCCTTCTCGAGGGTTTCACCAAAGAGATACACGTCAAGACCTGCATCACTCCTTTCCTTCCACATTACGCTGTCACGCCCTGATATAACTGGAATACTGTTCAAAGCGGCGTTAAACCCATGAGACGACAACCTTTGAAACTCTCCTAAAAAAAAACAGACAAAGAAATACGTGTCACACTGGTTTGGGAATGTAAAACTAAAGAAACTAAGAGTGATTGAGTGAGTCTAGTTTTACACCGCTTTTTGCAATATTCCTAGAATGGTCGTCGGCATGACGAGCGAACGCTTTAACCACTGGCCTACCCGACCGCACCTAAACCGGAGACGTTGAATATCGACACATTA